TGTAGCAGACACTAAAAGTGGAACGTACGAGGTAAATAACCTCGATAGTTCTAGTGCGCTTAATATATGCACAAGTCGTATTCCGACTACAGAGATTATACTCGCAAGAAGACATGATTCTAATTCCCCTCTTGATCGTTCTGAATTTAAAGACACTATATGGAGAACGGATAAGGGAGGCTATACATACTATCGTACACGCTTTATAGACGGTACAATAGCTGAGTTGACTTCAGATGCTTTCGATAATCAAGACTATTTAAAAGCCTTTAATCGAAAATGGCGTAAACACCTGCATAAGTCACAAGCTGAAAAAGATAGCATGTTTCCATCGTCTGAAGGAACGGAAGTTAAAACTTATCCGCCTACAGCATTTATCCCGAGTTTTAATGCTCATACTTCATATGTGCTTAAGACACTGAAGCGTAAGAAACGTCCAGTCGACCACCACGGACCTACTGGACCTAAGCCCAAAACTCACAGGGTAACCAAGAACGCTTAACTTCTCCGCCTGAGAAACATTAACTATATGTTATGCTACTTAAGGTTTCGACCCGTTTTTCCTTTCTCGCTTTTTGACCCATAATCAGCTTGAGTGAGCAACTTGCTTCTCATGGGTCTCAAAGCTGGGTGGGGGCTGTGTAATAAGCCGGGCCTCCACATTAGACTCTATGTTATAAACGTACTCTTTAAGCAGTACGTAAATTATAAACGTACTCTTAATAGTACGAGGAACTTAAGTCTCGTAAATGGTTTTTAATGGTTTTATTAATTAATACCTTTTCGATTTTACATATCAGATATTTGGACGAGGCCATTAAAAGGCCCCAGTAAAATACCAAACATAAGAGTTGGTCTAGTTCTATTAATAGAACTATATTAACTTTCCAACTTTATTTATATCTAAATACATTCGGTAGCGAGATGAATCAACCGAATATAGGTTTCTAGGGACTATTAACGTTACCTAGTTGATCCTCCGATCAGCCAACCAGATGTGCCAGTCTGATGAAGACCAAGTCGGTAATTCCTGATAAGTGGCAAGTTATTGGTTAAGACAATAACTAAGGACATCAAGAGTAAATTTTTGTTATTTAAAGATGGGATTTTACGAGTCTCTTAGATTTGCCCCAATGAAACATACCATAGTTTCTAATAGAGCGACAACGGAAGACTAAATAAAATCCCTTCGGCGAAAACAGTACTGAGAGGATTATATATAGACATGGTCTCAGCCTCACAATCCCTCAGAATATTGTTGTTTTCACGAGGCATACCTAACTTTACTAAGTGTCTCATTTCGTTTATTTACTTTAATATTTTCACGGTACTTAGAATTTACCTACGCGTTTATTTACACTA